GACCCCAGAGCCTGGCGGCCCTGTGGTGACAGATCCGGGTTTGGTCCTGAGGGCAATGGGGAGCCATAGGAGGGCTCAGAGCAAAGATTGAAAGCTGCTCTAGAATCTAGAATCCACCTTCCACTCTACAAGAGAAGTGGGGAGCGGACCCCATAGAGATGCACCCGGCCAGGTCCAGTCTGGAGCAAATCGTCCGGACAAAGAGCCAAATCCCCTCAACAAGCGAAGGGCGAGAGGGGGTGGGGAAGGAGGCCAAATGGTTAAAAGGCCACATCGCGTGACTCTATGTAGATATAAAAGTGAAAAGAAGCCAAAGAAATCAACAGTGACCCCCCCACCCCGTGGGGCCTGGGAGGAGGGCAGGAAGGGGCTCTGGGGCCCACAGCCCATAGCTGCTCACTAAATGTGCCCATTCTGGGGGTGCCTCCTGAGCCTTCCCTGACGGGGCGTGGGTACCAAGAAACCTGTCCTGCACCTTCTTTACGGCCTCCCGGACCCAGGACCTCCCGCCTGTCCATCAGGCGCCACTGCTCCCCAGAGCCCCCCACCTCCAAGGTCCAGCCACCTGCTCGATGCTCCCGCAGGCTCGTTCCACTCAGCAGCTTCCCCCAAACAGTCTCCTCCCCACCTGGTAACCACGGATCTCCGCACCCTATCCTGTCTGTCCCCCCAGGGAAACATGTCCCCCCTCTTTTGCTCTGCCCCCCATAGACGGTTGACTGCTCGGATGCCATGCATATCTATTCCTCTCTTCCCCTACAGAGGGCGCGTCTTTTTCTCCACCGCGTACTGCTCCACGGTGGCCCGACTAGTGTCGGCTACATTCCTGGGTGTGCGTTTTCAGGATCAACAGTGTCCTTTGTCACCTGCCCTCCACCTGCTTCCTGCAGTCAGCGGCACAGGTGCCCATGTGCCCGCAAATTGCCGCCCGTGAGCTGGGAGGTGACCGGTCTTAGGGGTCTGATTTGTAGCAGCCGGAGTGAGGGGAGGTTGAGTTCTTAAAGAACAGACACCTTCTGACCACCAGACCCTGCTTGGGAGTCTCTATCCCCTGGTCAGGGTCGGTCCCTCCGGGGTTCCCAGGAGCCTCCACGCAGCCACCCCTCCTCCGCTCTGCCCTCCTTCAACCCGTCCCCTCCAGTGCCCTCACCCTGAGCGTTGGGGAGAGGGGACGAAATGGGGAGAAGGTTGCTGTACGCACAGGGGACAGGGCGGGACACTGCGGCCTGGGGAGGGGGAGGGGAGGCAGAAGACGCAAAAAATGACCTATACCCCCCCCACCCGGGCACCAAGGGGCCTTTCCTGCCACCAGCCCCGTCCCAGTAGCCATCAAAGCGAAGCCCCTTGGAGCATCAGCTCATTTACTTGTCTTTGAAAATAGGACTGTCTTTTAGGATTTATTTATTTAACCAGCAGCCACCTGGACAGACCCCTCCTTCCCTGAGTGGGGTGGGAAAGAGGAGGCCTCTGGGAGGGGGACCACAAACCACAAAAGTGGGACGTGTGTGCCAGGCAGAAGGGGCAGTCAGGGCAAAGTCCCTGAGGCACC